TGCTAATTCGAGCTCCAAAATACACTGCTTTTGTCAAATAATTTATTAATCGAATTTCATCACTTTTTTTTTCAATACCAACCCTAAACTTCCATTAATTTAGCTGCTAATTCAGTTATTTTTTTTCAAGGCTGAATGACTTCCTTTTTGAATTTGAAATCGTGCGTTTTAATTTGACGAATTAATCAAATTTTCGACCTTCAATGATTTCGGTAACTTTCGAAAACTTCATCACAAGCTGGCTCAGTAGCTGCGTTATCAAGCCTTATTGTTTTTTTAATTTCTTTTACCAAGTTCCATTACTCTGGTCTTCACGTTCCCGCAATTTTTTATAGATTTAATGTATTGGGTTTCATTAATTCGGTCCAAAGGCTGAAGTCAAAACTTCGTCTGTATTCATTTGTCATGAAAAGTGCAAACATTGTGTAATGTTCCAGGCGGTAGTACGTGCCAACAGCAGCAATTAGCTCGACAAACTTTTAGTGGGCTTGTCTTCTGAAGGTTATTTAGCAAGCTAACGACAATTTTGCCTTTCTGACATGCAGCAGCAGCAGCAGCAATTTACTGTTGAAACGAATGAAAGATTTGGTTTTTCAGTACCAGTATATTTAAACTGCATTAGCCGTTCGACCGCCGCTTTAGAAGTAGCAATACTGTTCAAAAAAATAACAAAAAAAAAAAAGATCAACTGTTGTTTCAGAACACATACCAAGGGCATATTGATGCCATTCGGAGCCGATTCCTGCGGTACAATCAGATCATCCCATCCGGCCGATGTGATATTCCCTCGTGGTGCAAAAATATCGCCATTCTCTTCTAAATTTACTGCATTCACTATCTTAACGCACGGACACTGATCTCAATCAATGGTTCTGCCATTAAATTATCGTTCAATGTCTTCTCACTTTCATAAGAAAGTATTTATGGACGGTATTCAACAAGGCAGAGCAATAAGGCATCAGGATCAGTACTAAGCTATCCAAAAAAGGTGGCAGTAATTATGGAAGTGACGAGCC